AACATTTTATTAAATCATTGAAAAATCTGAGGAGGAATTAAATTCATATATGGTTGAGTCAAAGGAAGAATATCGATGGGTGTTCTTACAAACAAATTAGCACCCGGGGCTCACTTGAGATATTTATAGAACGCTCTGAAGTGATCACCAATCAGCACTAGTGACTACTAAATTCTGACTATCCTCGTAATATGGTAGTATAACCCAACCATGCTGACTATACTCGTACAATGCTGACTATAACCTAACAATGCTGACTTTTTACTGAAGCTCACTTTAAAATACCACGGTTGGGTTATACTCAGCATTGTCGGATTAAAGTCAGCACGGCCCCGATAAAAGTCAGCACGGTCGGATTAAAGTCAGCATAAATATTTTACCTGTGTTCATTGATCCGCGCGTGAGCTCCACACGGTCAGTGCGAGACAACAGCAGGGGGTCAGCTCTGATCGCGGCATTTCTTTACCTTTGAACCGCCTATAGAAGGCAGCAGTTTCACACCGAAATGGCTACCGAAACCTTCCGTACACGGCCATTATTAACCCGCTGTGCTTACGTAAACACAGCTACTGTTCCGTGGGTAGACTGCCGTCGCAAATAAAGAAAGGCAAATCTCGTTCACTGTTCTACTCTCAATGTGTTTTGAAATCTTCTGGTCATACTTTATCGACAGATTTCTACTAATTTTATTAGTAATAAATAAAAGATTATGTTGTGTTCATATCTTTATTGCCAACAATCATGTTTTTAATAAGAATCGCCTATTAAACAATGAGTTTATACTTTCTTTGAACGTGACTATGTTGGAAAAGGGTTAATAAATAATTGATTATTATATAATGCTTTGTGGCTACTATATACCTTGTATCACAGCTATTGGTACTCCCATAACATGAGAGGCCGCTGGTCGGCCTTTTTTCAATCGGATATGATTTTGCCGACTGCGACCTCTCATTTCCGAAGCACTAATTCATTGATGCAGTTTCCGCCCGAAATCCGGGCGGAACAAAATCGACTTGAAAAACTCACTTAAGTGGTTAACAGTTCATGACAACGATGTCTGCTCATGGTTTATATAATAAAGATCTCATATGTATGTCAGAGACACAAATATATAGTATATTACGGAATAGAACACTCAAAATACATGTCCATGTCGTTGTAGCACATCTCTGACCAACATTTAAAACATGGCTTCTGGATTAATACAAAATAGCAGGGGGGATTTCAAACGGAACGAAATGATACGGAGTTTTTTTGTATTCCGCTTGTGAAACATTACGTGTATTCCATTTTTGTATTAACCGGAAAAATCATGGCAAATTCTGTCTGCTTCGCTTCGAATGAGGAAAAACTCATTATTTATTTTTACACGAAATTTTTCTCATTTAATCATGGAATTATGGAAAAGAATATTTATTGGATCCTTTTGACCATTTAAATTTATGTAAACACGATATACTCTTTCTTAATCCGAACTTTGAAAATGTGATCGTCAGTATCGGGAAAATCAGCTATGGGCAGTTAGAGGTTACGCGGCGCCTGTCAAAAGTTTTTCGACGTGTAAAACCTCTAACATTGTTGGAGTAAGCTAATGGTCGGTAGACTGGTCACCGAAAATGATTCGGAAAATACGGAAGTCGATTATCGTTCATTACACAATTGACATATATTGTTTTGCGAGTCGATTGAGATAATATTATCATATATAGTGAATGAGTGTTGACATGAGCGTGTAGAGTGTAAGTTGGCAATTGTATGAATGTATGATTGAGTGTATGAGTGTAATACAATAATATAAATAGCTATATATATAGTCATACTTACACCATCATGGATAAGATTGATATAGGCCTAGTCTGTAATCTTATCCATTTATATATGTTAATATATATGAAAAAAAAATGTTGAAATTGTTTTTGAAGTATACAATTATGACGTATATACTACATATATTTGATTTGATCGACTTATTTACATGAGGTTTTAGTATCGACTTGTTTACGTGATGTTTTAGTTATACTTTATCGAAAACAGTGTGATTTGTAATAGAAAATGGATTGTGAAATGGTGTTGTGTTCATAATTTCATAGCTCTAATTCTGTAGTTTTGTAAAAAGTTTTTAACGAATAAATGGCGACATACTCAACCCCCATTGACTATTTCACTGTTGTGTTGTACTCAGGATGGACCTATTAACGATGTTGTGTATTACCATGCATTTATTTACAACTATTATTGTTCTGTATGAGGAAGCGCCCATTTAGTGATATTGTGTGCATACTTTCATCGCCTGAAAATCTTTAAATAAAAACTACTAAATGATGTGTTTATACTTTCATTGACAATATTTGTTTGTTACCGGTTACAGTTATGTTTGTTTTACGCAGTCTAAGTACGAATTAGGGTAGTTAAATGGGCTCACCTTGTGTGGCTAATCGGTGTAAAATCATGTTTAAATTTAATCTTTGTACAATGACAATCCCAAGCAGTGGCCAATTTTGATGAAAGTAGTTCATAGTTTGGGGAAATTATCGTTTAAAATGTTATATAATTAAAACATTAAAACATGTTTAGCTTGAAATCAGAAAAAAAAACGCTTGGACATGATGAATTCAATTGAAGTCTTTCACATAATGCAACTTGTGTAAACATAGGAAGTATACAACAGGGAGGCATTCTTACGAATACAACAATTAATTTCGATCAACCAAGCCATTCATCATTATTCAAATTGTAAACATAATTTAGTCTTCAAAGGATCCTGTGCTTGGCTTTAAAAACACAAGACCCTTTGAAGACTAAATTATGTTTGCATTGCCTTCACAGAACATTGTTTTGATACTGGTTCATGCATAACCGTCTGTCAACTTGGTCGTGTTTCTACAGATATTAAAACGGGATCAAATTAAAACAACAACCTATCGTCAATAGTCTCCTAATTTATGTATAAAAAGCTAGCCATATTATTCAGACTTCACTTCACAATGGACGCGCATACAATGCATACATGTTATTGCGTCCGCTGTCAATCGTTTTGTGGAGGAAAGGTAGTTTCATACCCGACAATTGTGCAGCACAGTCAGTGGATGTTGGAAAATGGAAACAGAATCCAGGACAATCCATGGATGCTGAAGTACTGCAGTGACGTGCCTAGCCTCAAAGTAAGTTTTATAAATGTCATTAATAATTATGCTATTTTGAACATCAATCTAAAAATAATAAGTTTTCAGATTCATCATTAACACTAAAAAAATATCAGTCGATGTAATAAAACACGCGGCAAATGGGTGCATTTATCCTTAATTCCACCTTCTTTATTATTTGTATTAGTACCTTCTATAGTGTTATTTATATCAAAATACTGAATATAAGCAATATTGATTGTTGTATAACTCCTACTTGCATGTGGTCTTGGTATCAACAACTGTCACTACCACTTGATAATGTACAGATATATAACCTTAGTACATATTGTATAGAACCATTGTATGAATACATGTTCATTACTTATCAATAAAAACGCAAACATTCAACAATTTGTGTCATACTTTATATATACATTATGTCTGCATGATGATTGCCTGAAAATAATTGTTGATAAGAACATATATACAACTCAACCATCCACTGTGCTGTACTTCTATTTAGAAACATTAGTACATTTTATATTATTTGATATTAAATGATTACATCACATTAACTAATTCAATTTAACCACAAACATGCAGTGGACATCTACGTTTAATAAAAATAAAAATAATACAGTAATAATTTAGGTTTCAAGGTTTTTATTTATACACTCTGTGTAACAAGAGGTCATCATTACATAATATCATTATGATCCCCATATTACGAATTACAAAATAAGTGTATACACGTGTATCTTATACAAATACATACATATAATTAATAGGGTTTAGTCTCACCTAGCATACATTTCTAAAATACCTAGTCTCACATTCCAATTTTCACACCTGATCAGAATTTGGTTATAGTCTCTTTCAAAATGATGTAGATGGTATTGTATTACATATTATAATTAATAACTTATGTCTACTAAATATATTAAAACAAATAAAATTGATACATTTATTCAACGTGAAAATAATAACGATTTTACAGATAGTATAACAGGTACAGTACTAGCCGCCTGCATGTTATTAAAATCTTAGATTTTTGTTGATCAAGTAAAGATTCATTAACTAATCTTAATAACAGCGATTGTTTAAAACTAATGCATTGTCTATGAATAAACTGATACAAAAACAGTTGACTGAATGTTGTTTTTAATATTTCCTTTATTTTATAGTTATGTTTGCAAAGTTTCACTCTCAAGCTGATTTTGTGTGGACATACACTGTAGATAGGAAACATAATTATAATTTTCACATATCATAATATCACAAAGGTCAATATTGTCAACATTTATTCAAAGCTTGGGCTTTGTTGGCTCATTATATGTGGTACATAATGTACAAAACACGATGTATAGAGAATGTATATAGATAATGTACATAATACACAATATAATCAACTAAGAGGTTCGGATAAGATAGACTTCCTTAATATACATAGCCATTTATATATACAATTACTATGTTTGACACTTAACAACTGAGAAGTCGGAAAAACTCTTAGATTTTGAAATTTACTAAAAATTTACAGAATGTTAACATGTCTGTGGAGGACCATTCCTGTACAATGTCTTTGTTCTGAACGAACATTTCTTTTTCTTCCAGTCTCAATGAATGCAAAGAAGCATTTAATCTACTGAGAAACACAAAACAATTTGTACCATATACCGTCATAAAGTTTGGGTAATAACACCGTAGGCATGTGGTATAGATGGAATAATAATATTTTAACGAAACTACCTTGAATATGTGTGTACCATTATACTGCATAAATAATGGAGTAATGTGTACAATATGATGTTAAAAGACGAAACTGGTAGGTTATTCTCGTCCATTTGCACCTTTACACCTTTACAAGATCGACTTTAGACGCTGCTTTATATCATATGTATCACAGGCGCCTGTTTTAACTTTATATATGTACAGTGCTAGTGAGTTTACTTATTTTAAGGTGTGATAATGACTTTTAGTGTCTCATAAGCCAGATTTGGCTTGATGTCATTACTGATCAATTTGAATCTTGAAATTTTACTTTTTATAAAATATGTGACACTTAAATAAAAGAAATTGCATTGTATTGTAATAATATGTAAAGTTAGGGCATTTAATCTGATATTCCCTATTGTTATGATGAAGACTATAATAGATCAAGTGCAAACAATTTTATAAATAAATAAAATATTACACCAAAAATCAATCCTATGTATACGTTCATATTCACATGGTTATACACTTTATGGTACAGACATACAGTTCAACATGACATATATTAAACATAAATAATTAATAAGACTGTACAGTTATACAAGTATATGATTATAGACAATATAAATATTGTATAAAAAGATTTTTTAAAGTCATTTGATCTTTCAATACATCATAACGCAGATATACAATAACGTTAAACAACACTTTTGAAAACAAGTTTTCCCCTCGAACCCATGGTAGGGCATTCCAGCACTCTTACAATTTCTTCACTCTCGACCTCTGATGTATCCTCTATTCTTGGCCAGATGTAGGTGTTTTTAGGTCCTGACTTCCTTAGGAACTTTACAACAATCGGTTTCAACTTTAGTATCTGAAATAAATAAACAGTAACTTGATTTTCTATGAGTATGTAAACGTACTGTGTAATAAACTAAACATTATATAGTTGCATGGGTTTTAATCCCTTAGTAAGAACATATTGTTTTAATGTTTGTTTATGAATTGAATTGCTAGTTGCTTTGAAAGGGATTTTTTTTAAATCAATAACTTCTATCCCTAGGTATTCAAATATATGAACAAGAGCTGTAGGAGAACAGCATTTTCGTCTATTAAAATTATTTTTGTAAAAAGTGCTAATAGTAATTGGGCCCTCCCTACTTCTGTAACCATATGCAAAAATAAAATGTAGAACTGATGGCTATGTTTTATTTGATATCCTAAAAGGCTACATAAAAATTAAAGACCCCCATTACTCAGTCCGTCTTGCCCGGTCTGTAGCGGTCATACTAAAAAACCTGAAAGTCTACCGTGTCCAAATAGTTTAAAATAAATAAATATATATCTTTCATGTTTAAAAGTTCAAGTTCAAGAAACATTTTAGAAAATGTTATTTTGTAAAATGTAGCTACAAATTATGCTAAAGAGTTAAATTTAGTGATCCAATTTTTATGCAGCTTTATAAGAATGTGTCAAACTGATGCAGTCAATACATTACAGGAATCTGTATTATCATCTTAGGCAATAATGCATTGATTTTGGAAGTTAGAAATGTATCTTATAGAAGTTAGGAACGTCTTTTAAATAACTTATGTTAAGGACCTCCCACCCTTCGTAATACACATGTTTTCTTGTTGTATTTTCGTGTCGTCATATCCGTATTGCTTATTGGGCATTCCATTACCGTAGTGTTAATTATAGTAACACCTCATTTTTATTACAGTACATCTGATTTGATGACATTGGTCACATGTTGGGACAATAAAACATTGTAACCCTCACGTGATTGACTTTGACCAACCATATTGCCCTTATTCGTGGCCTAAATAGACGAGACTGAAGTAGATAATAGCAATCGTGTCAACCTCATTATTGAAGGCAAGCTAGTTGAAAGTCAAAATGACAAAAAATTCCGGTTTAAGGTAGTTTCTTCTAGGAAGGTGACCAAGACAGCTACACTTACATATTAACAAAGTATTAATATTTCTTTCAATTATTTCATAAACTTACTTTAATATGGGCACTGCCTCCCCCATGTGTGTGGCCGCTGGCTCAATATGATGGGGGTCGATAAGGGCCACCGCTGCTTCATCTTCCATGTGTGGGGGTTGATCATGACTGTTGCCTCTTCCACAGGTAGGGGGTCTATCACGGCCATCGCTGCTGCCTGTTCCATCTGTGGGTGGTCGATGTTGGCCACTGCTGCTGCCTCTTCCATGTGTGGGGGGTCGATGTTGGCTGCGGCGTCCATCACATTTGGGGGGTCCATCATGGCTGCTGCCTCTACCACATGTGGGGGGTCCATCATGGCTGCTGCCTCTTCCATGTGTGGGGGGTCGAACATGGCTGCTGCCTCTTCCATGTGTGTGGGGTCTATCAAGGCCATCGCTGCTGCCTCTTCCATTTGTGGGGGGGTCGATGTTGGCCACTGCTGCTACCTCTTCCATGTGTGGGGGGTCGATGTTGGCTGCGGCGTCCATCACATGTGGGGGGTCCATCATGGCTGCTGCCTCTACATATGTGGGGGGTCCATCATGGCTGCTGCCTCTTCCATGTGTGGGGGTCGAACATGGCTGCTGCCTGTTCCATGTGTGGGGGGTCAAACATGGCTGCTGCCTCTTCCATGTGTGGGGGGTCTATCATGGCCATCGCTGCTGCCTCATCCATCTGTGGGGGGTCGATGTTGGTCACTACTGCCCCTGTTGCTCTCATAGGGGGGGGCTAACTGAGGGGCTCCCACAGGAAATGGCAGCCTTCTCCTTGCTGCTCCATTCCCAATTGGTGTTGGTGGCAGCACCCGCCTTTTCTTGATTTGCCTCTTGACTTTATACTGTTCAGCCACAAACTGGAAAATAGAAAAAACAAATATATATTAAATACAAACAATTTCCTTGGTAAACAATTATATAAAATGATGTAGTAGATCATTTACTGTCACATTTGATATATAAAAATATGGCACATTTTTGTGAATATAAATGTTTCAATTTGTTTACAGTATGCTGAACTGTCGCCTAGACAATTATCATTAAAGGTTTTGAAAGAAACATTTCTTTGTATTTGATTTTCTTACCAATTCGTATTCATCACTTCGTCCAATCATATTTATTGGCCAAGTGAGGAGGCTGTTTTTCTGCAATCAAATATATAATGAATCATATTAAAGTAATATAATTTCAATATCATATTGAATAAAATGTCTGTAAGAATGGATTTTTCCTTTGGTCTTTTGGTTTTGACCTATATACCTGTGATATACCCAATATTATATGTAAAAGCAGTCAAGAAGTGAAGAAGGTACAGCCAGTAACATGGAATTCTGACATGCCATGGCAGGATATAAAAGACACGGTAACACTTACACTGCTTTTCCCTTACTTTCCCATAAAGGAAGCTCCCATTCCATAGGCAGTTCAGACTGCTTTCTAAACAACTAACGTTGGACATTTCAACATTATTGTTGCATTCACGTTTGAATTATTTTGGCTCAAATTATCAAAATACATGTATTACTTGAATATTAANCTATCAGAAACAATTACATATCAATCATTTCCCTATCTTTTGGTCGTAAGGTAAAGGGTATAACTGAGGGTCCACTACTATTATGTCAAAAATCACTTGAATTATGTTACCCTTTGCCATAGATAGTGTATTTGAAGCATCTCTTTTGAACTTACCCCAACATCACTCCAGTCTTGCTTTGATATCCTACATGGCAGGAAGTCGAGAGTGGAGGCGCGTCTTTTGACTTCAACCATCACAGACACCCAATCTTTTACATTTTCATCTGGTTGATCTTTGATGTCTGTTTGAAAAAGGAAAATATAGAAATCAAGCAGAAGAACAAAAATTAAAAACATACAGTATATGAATAACTTAGTTTGAATGAATGCTTAGTTCCTATATAATCCCACTGCCAATATTCAAACAATACTAATAGAAAAAGAGAAACTGCTCACCCCTTCCCACCCTTGTTGGGATAATATTTTAACTATCCTTTGCCAATAATCCCCATCAGATTTTTATGAATAAAACACTCTTTCCGTGTTCGATGTTAATCAGTTGATAGTTACTAATGATACTACAGATATACATTAAAAAGGCAATAACATAAAATGTCCTGATTAAAACAATTTAGGCAAGATTTTATACCATTTAACTTTCTTACCAAGTTTCAAATTAATTGATATTGAGTGGAAATTAAAAGGTTAACTGAATGACGGAGGGTATACATTATACAACCAGTCAAGATGTGCACATAATAAACAAGAGGCCCAGAGGACCTGTATTGCTTACAGGGGATATGTGTTTATAGTACTTGATATGAGGTAAAGATATAGCACTCCATGATAGGTACCGTATGTACATATGAAATTTCAGAAAGATCCATCCAGTATTTCTAGAGATTAAGTAAAAACTTAAACTTCTAATGTCCAACTCCAAGATGGCGGCCAGGTGACCCTATTGTTTTAAAGAATACACTCTTATAGTAACAGGCACTACTAGACAACGAGATGGAGACAAAATTGGGATAACATCCCAGGATCCCTATGGTAGAAAGATTACAAAGGTTTTACCCCTATTTCCCCTATTTGGCCCCACCCCTCAGCCCTGAGGGCCATATCCATGGTATATACAGAATTAAGTACCCTTGCACCAAGCATCCTCCAGACCAAATAGGGATTTCAGCATGGATATACACAGGCCTTTTATATTGCCAAATATTGGCCGAATCCCCTCACAAATTTTGGTATTATTTCCCTTGGTTTCAGCTTTATATTCCCCTGTATAAGTTAAAAAAATCCCTCACTTGTAAGTGAAATACTACCACTTGAATATCTGCCTTGGTTCCATTTTGTTTTTATTTTCCATAAGTAGCATGTCCAAGTAATCTATTGCATATACATGTACACCTATTGCGCATATTTTCCCCATTTCAATAAAGGGTACTAGCTTTCTATTCCTGCATTAATCCCAGCTTATTTTCAATGGGGCCACACACAATGTTATCTAAAATTGTGTACCCTTGGCACAAGGATGCTCCAGACCAAATTTAGTTAAAATCCACTAACCCATTCTTTGGGCAGGTGAGCTAAAAACCATATAACAATTGTAGGTTTTAGGTGCTGAACATAATCTGAGTACTTACACATATCTATACAGGGATAGGCTACAACAGTTGCCTTTGCTATGGGATAACCCATGTAATCTTGTAGGCATATCATATTTCTGAAAAAAAAGGACAAGTATTTATAGCATTATCAAGGTAAGGTCAACTCCTATGGAGATTTAAAAATATGTGTCGGCCCTTGATTGTTATTTCAAAATATGATAAATAAAAAAGGTATGGGTATAGCAAGCTTAAATCAGGAACAGTTAGTTTCAGAATTTACTTCAGGACAAATTGGACCTCATTAACTTAATCAGTACGGTATTTAAAGATGTGGTAATACAAATCTCCCTAGAGCATTTAAATAACACAATACTATAAAATTATATCATCATCGTGTGCATCATATTCCAACTATTTTGATACCGAAAATTACACTATTTCAAGAAAGAATTGTTCTTTTTATTGAAGATTTATGCAAAAACGTATATGAAATTTCATTACAAATGTCCCATTTTGGACACGTTAAGTTACATAGTACTTGTTTAAAAGTTTGCTACCAATGTTATCTCTCAACATCAGGAATTTCCAAACAAAGACAACTGGTATATTTGTCATATAATACCTTCTACAATGTGGGTTATATTTTGAAATATATGATTTTTTTGTGTTTTTCTGATCAAACGTATCGCTATTCTTACATCATGTACACTGATGGCATATTTAGTATCAAAATAACAGTAATTTTAACACTGTCCAATAACAAATTATTTTCAAAACAACATTCGCCTTTGACATTTATCTGTCATTTTGTTCGGATACCCCTCATTCAACCTGGTGTTATGCAAGGAGGTCCACTACTGTTATCAGTTGCAATAATGAATATTTATGCAGTTATTGTTCATTTTTATGTATCTACATATGGCAAAAAAAGGAAAAGAAATCGATGTGTGGACCAAATGTTGACCCCAACTTAAAAAAGAAATAGCATCCAACATTTTAAATAAATACACATAATGGTGTTATATTACTTTTATTTGATGAGGACTAGCTTGATGAATTTCATAAAGAGGTACAGATGACATTAGTCATGAAAGTAAACTATATAATTACCCCGACTTGTCTTAACTGCTCATTGACATTTTTTCCATGTTGTGAGTAGGTAGATTGTGTTCTCTGGCCTTGTTTCTCTTGTATTCTCTGTCCCTATAAAGATAACAGATTATATATAACATGTGCTTGCCAAATACAATTTTTGTTTCCGACCACTTCTACTTCAAAGAAATAAGAATTAAATTGTTAATAGAGATAATTGAAGGTCATGAAATTACAAAAGGTCAATGGTAGNGCAACTTGTAGTTAACAATGTAAAATGGTACAAAGACGGTGCCAGATGATAGACAAAATTTGGCTCATAATTGAAAAGTTTGACTGAAGCAAGGAATGACTGTTTTACAAGTGTCTTGCCCTTAGTAATTACTTTTTATTTCCTAATACATAAAAAATACATACGGAGAGTGCATTCTCTTCCTTAAGTAGTTCATTTTGTTTTGAATATTCCTTTTAAGGCCCTTCATAACTTTCTTGTCCTCTGTGTCGATATTGGACACAAGAGCCTTTACATGTGGAAATAAAAAAAAAATAGGAATTAAATCTATAAATATGTCAGAATGACATGAAAGTCAACCCATCACTCTGTATGATCATTTTCCAATAAAACGTTGACCAAACTGCAACAGATATTTTTTCACGTGTCAATCAAACAGGTCCGACAAGGAACGCCAACAGCTGAATTCACGAGACATGGAGAAAACCATTTTTTTTTGATTTCAGCGATTGAAAAGAAAAAGATCAGAATGTATTTGGCTGTTTTGAACCTGTTAATAATTATTTTTTAAACTTTTATCATTATCGATTCAATTCGCATGGATGTCACCTTGTAAATTCCTGCCGGTTAATAGTATCACCCTACCTTGACTCTTTGCGGTACACAAACTTGCTAACTTCACACCAATTTTCACAAAACACAAACAATTTAAAACAAAAGCATCTGATGATCATACATACATACTAATTATGAAAACCAATAGCAAATATCAACTGCAGAGATAAAGTCACACATTTATTTTTGTGAACTTTTTTTCCAACGCACTTTTCATTGAACTGAATCAAGGTTAAGAAATAAAGATATTTACCTCCACAGCGATTCTGTTTAGAAGATATCCCTTTGAACTGGTACATCCAGTAACGTAAAGCGCCTTTCTGATGGCAGCCTATACAAAAAAATGATAGCAGTGTTTACTAACTACATCAATTTTTTAAATTGTGTTGGGTTTGTATCAGGTAACATTTTTTAAAAAACAGGAAATGGTCCAGGATATTTTATCACGTACTTGTATCCGAGTTTAATTTATTAACCAGGCAACGTTCACATCCACTCATTAAAATGTACTTTCTCCATGTTCTGAACTTATTCTTGACAGTTAACAGCAATCGTTATGTGTGGAAATGCATTATAACATTAGAAATAAAACATTAAAAAAAAATCACAAATATAAACAAGAGACCCCAGAGGAATTTTGGAACCCACCATTGTACCATATTCATTACGTATCTGTCAGTTTGATCTTTTCTCTATAAATCTGTTTGCACCTTGAGGTAACTTTTGATCTATATCTAATACTGCTGTGTATAACAGACAACCTTGAAAGTGAGTTTGTCGTTTCACATATTTACTAGTATAGTACTTAATGTGAAAGAAATAGAACCAATATTGATTTGCAATATGAAGTTCTTCCTTTGGCCATTTTGATTTTATGATCAGTCTCAAAAGATAAAATGCACAATGAGGGATCAAAGGGAACCTACATATCAAATTTGAGAAAGATCCCTTAAGTCATTCCTGAGAAATAGCACTAAAATACCTTCAGTGTTAAAATCGAAGATGCTGTCATCAAAAAACTGATATGCATAACAAGTGATCATAGGGAACCTTCAAATTTTAAAATAGCACTAACTAACTTTAACTCAAATTCAAGATGGCTGCCTGTTCAACAAAGGGCCATATCTTCTTTGTAAAGGGTCAGAATGAATAAGCTGTAAGGATTGTTATTAGCAATTTTCATTTAGATCCACCAGTAGTTTAGGTATCTGGTATAACAGTATCTGGTACTATGGTACTGTAAAGGTAAAAGTTCAAAAAGGGGAAAGTTGAAACCTGACAAAAAAAACTGTTATATATGTTAAACATTATTACTTTTAGTAATACCATACCAATTTGGAAGGAATTGAAAAAAAAAATCAAAAAAAAATCTTGTATTTTCTATACAATGTCATGGTCTATAGAAGTTTTATGAACTAATGGTCATAGCTCTGTGGGGAAGGGAGACAACCAAATGCAAAGACTTCCCGCACAAAAGAACAACTTTGTTTCCAGTATCACCCTCCTAACTTCGTTGTGGGGGTATAACACACTATCAATTGATTAAACCTTGAATTGATAACATGGGGAACCTTCATACGAAATTAGAAAGATTTCTTTTTGTTTTGAAAATGAAACATACACATTTATGGATCATACCTATTTATGAAATCCAAGAAATCCAAGAAATATCTGTCAAGTACTTGTACTTTTTTTGTCACGCAAGGTAACCTGATTTATGACAAGCAGGTCATATACTTGCTAAATTAATTTTATCCCTGAAAGGTAGGATTAGCTTCAAATGCAAAATTTTGAATTATTCAATACTTACATTCAAGAAATTCAAATCTTTTAAAAGAGACTCAGCATCATCTCTCATAATCACTTCTTGTCTTGAAAGACAGACACAGTCCAAGTTGATATTTCTTGTCTTCAAGAAGGGCCTGGCTGGTATCCTCATGTAGGACCTAACGGCTGACCAAACAAAGACATTAATTGAAGTTAAACCTATAGCGAAACTGTGGTAAAAATTAACACTGAGCATTGCATCAACATTCAAGTAACTGTGTAGCTATTTTTTAACTCTTTAAACAAAACCTAATTTACACACATCGTTCAAATATAAAATTAATAACTATTATAATAATCAAGTAGATAATATTTCCCTGATCTTAAACAGTGCAATCCTAGGAATCTTTATATATTACTGTGTCAAATCAGGCATAAAGCCAGTGACTTACACTTCGATATATTTACCGATTTCAGACGTGATTTTTATGAAATATATTATGCAGTAGGATTTATTAGTCTTAAAATCACTGACATCAGGAGATAATATGCTATCACTAGAAACTAATACTTATATATTATCTGAAGTTGAGAAATTTATTGATTTAACTAATAGATTCATTTAACTCTAATATGATTTTTATTAAATACTTCCCTTTATATGAATCTGCTCCGAGTATGTGTGTATGGCTGAGGGTTTAGAAGTATGTATGTTGCCAGTGGCACAGTACTTTAACTATAACATTGAAAGTGACCAAGACATCTACGCCACTGGTAGAAGAGTGAGCCTTGGTGGTAGTGTGTGTAGTTTAAACATTCAGCCATATTAATATCTCATATATTAATACATGTTTTCCATATAATTGTCCATCTATTTCATTAATTAATCAATTATTGATAATTTTGTAAATATACCTTAATATTCTGTGTAAATGTATAAATGTTGTACCGGTTCAGGAGAAGACTTATATAGGCACTGCCTGTTGTCTAAGTCCGTGGTTAACACATTAGAATTTGTTGAAACCAAAGAAATACAGGGAAGTAAACTAAATTATAATCAGATCAATGAAAATATTCAAATTTTTAAAAAGAATGTTCAGTTCAGTTAAGACATCAAGGAGAATTGCATTTCACTATTTGTCGTAAAACAAAAACAATTATTTTGTTGCTAATAAAACCTTTTTCTTTCTTTTTCTATCAAAGTATCTTATTGTTTTTACTTTAAAAACCAGACAACTCTGTTTTGCCTTTACTTCAGTCGATTCTGCGCAGATGGGTTTTATAATGTTCAATAGTATACATGTATGGCAATGCATTTGTGCGAGTTTCTTTGTGTGCGTCTGTTATTGAAGTAATCTTCGAGCAACTGACACTAGTTGCCTTTTGCTAAGGAATTTACGTGTCGCATAAAGCTAAATAAAAATAAAATATGTTACTGATTGATCAAGGACCATATTCCAGAAGAAAGTTACTTTTTGTAAATGAACTAAGTACAGAATTTTTGCCCATTTTGTATGCAAGGATTTTCATATAATCGCTTTAATATATATCTAGATTAAATATATGTAAACATGCAAACGTTCCATGATATATTCACTTCTCTTCTTACCATGGCTTACTGTAGATGCAGAGGTATAATAAGACAGGTTAAGAATATGGGAATTGTTTAAAGAAATGCTTGACATAGTCAGAAGATATATGTAATATGTTGCTTATTTTTTCCTTCTCCAGCCAGCCCATGGCAAAATCAAAATATGAAGTTGTGATAAACTGCTAGTTATACTATTGTTAGTTGTTTTGTTGAAATTGCTAAATCAATTACTTTAGGAAGCAAATTTACGAGATAAGTAAAGAAAACTGTCAAATAGGCCTGCATCGATTTCATCGGCGGGAATCGTCACCGGAGTATACAAGTTTTTAAACGGAGTCAAATGCAATTCAATATCATTTGACGATCTTGAAATGTACATAAACACTATTCATTGAAACATGTAGCATGACAACCGTTCTTGATATTATTTTAAACCGTTCCTGTTATTATTATATACCGTCTACAATGTCGTCTGCTAAAAAACGTTATTTACTTCATGTAAAGTATTATCCTAATTCCGTGGTGTTACAACTTATACTGGCTACAAATAATAAACATTCGAATTTCTGAAACAATTTCTGCTATTAACATCAGCATTATCAGGTGTCATCTTACTATCAGTTGTCCAAAATGTTTAAATTCCGCTTACACCTACTTTTTGTGCACCAATGCGTACTTCTCATTTCCTGTTTGAGTCTATTCTAATTTCCGAGCGGTGAGCTGAATATCCATATGGATCCGGATACGTGGAAAGCGCGCCAATTGCACTGTCCATTTACATCATGATTTATATGTAAACTGTACTATATATGCATATACACTGTAACCAGTTTGCGAGAATAAAAACTTGATATTGAAACTATAAACGAAGGTGTTGACTAGAAAATTGATAGAAAAAAAAATGTCACTGTGGAAGAATGCAAATACGACCAAGTGACGGACCTAGGGGTGTTGCCCTTTTTCTGTGTCCAATTTCTGGGTTCCCCCTGAGACCCTCCGACGCACTTAATATGCTGTAATTTTCATATAACATGATCATTTCATTTTATAATCTATCATCAAGGAAATGATGTCATCGATATTAATACAATTGTGATATGAAATGCGATCGCTACTTAATTGCGATGCATTACATAATAAAACATTGTTATTTTTTATATATTTTTTGTGCCTTATTTTTTTCGTAAAACTCATTTGAGAATATGATTTGAATGTTGACAAACTGTTTGATATGGGGGGGGGGGGACAGTCGTTATATTTCACACCGCGGTACTCCAGTCGGTTCAGTGCTGCGCGTTAACGGGTGATGCGAGCATGATCATTTTTACATATTTGTACTGAGTTAAATTCCAATATAAAATCTACTAAGCTACTGTTCAGGTACGCGAGCCTAAAATTTAAAAAAAAAATGATCAACACTAAACTATTTTACATTGACTGACATGTATGGGTAAAGAGGTACACTTCTGAGAATTAAAAACAATTACTGTATCAAACTTTTGCTTTTAATGTGTATTTTTTGAAAAATGATTTCATGGCACAAAAGATATTTTTTTATCTGTCTTTTCGTTTTTTCTGCTATGACCGGTCAAAGGATATATATTTACCATAGTATGTGATTTAGGTAATTTTTTTAGTTTTGACAATTTGCAGAACAAAGAGGTATGGCGGAAAACTGCCCGTATTTCCCTAAGGCGGCATTTAAGAAAACGGGGGGGGGGGGGGGGGGGGAGGAGTAAAACATTTCGTGTAGCAAAAATGCATACCAAAAATACAAAACCAATTGAATATGAATTTTTAAACTGCTGAGAAATTAGGTATCGCTAATATGATACTGCAAATATAGCCATATACACTATATCTATAAAAGTGATTTCCCGGACTTAAAAAAATACTTTCAACACTTTCCCGTCATAGGACAAACTTTTGAACAAACTTTTTGTGACCGTGATGTAATATGCAAAAATAAATCGTATTACGGAAAAGTGGTCCTCTTTGGGAAATATTTAGGCATGTGATCATTCCTAACAAGGCAATAGCGGGGTTTTTTTTAACTCGATGGGAATTTTTTAATAACATACCTTTTGATTTATCAGTTTTGTTAGTGATAATTTCTTTACCATTTAGTGCGACATACTTCTATCGAAGCATGTCAACAAATCCCTGTACACGCATACAGTACAGCTACGCTTTGTAGGTAAGACTATTTTTGATGAAAATTATGAATTGTTTTACCCTCCACCTGGCAATAGTAATTATATCAAGTGCTTAAACACCAACAAATAATGCCGAAATACCAAATATGTGGTCTGTTTATAATAATCTATTCTTAGACACGGGATTCCGATATTGCTACCTGTATAAAAATACCTGAGGACGCGTCATAACAGTGCACGGCTGGATGCGTGCACTAGCGTAACATAGTTTTGGGGAAAGCAACCCGCCAATTCTTTATACGATATCTTTTAAGTGCGTTATCAGTTATGTATGAATGTTTGAGGATTTGATAAAGGTAGTCTAATCTTTTTAATCATCAAAGTAAAATTTCTTTTTTGTTTTGTTTATCTCAGTAAAGAGATTTAAGTAACCCTACTCCATATTTTTTATGAACAAAATGCTCAGAATTTTTGCAGATAAAACGCTTGATATTTTTTTTTTTTTAAATTTGATTATTCAATAGAAAATATGGTTCTCTTTCTAAAACAGACACACAAATTGGAGTGTCTGCGTAATTTTTTTTTTTTTTTTTGCAATAATTTACCTCTTATATGCTATTTTAAACGTTTGTCGGGGTCAAAAATCGAAGTGCTACAGTTACAGTTAGTTAATTAATGATAGTTCAACAGATGTGCATTGCTGCTAAACTTTATACCAAAATCATCAGAATTTATAACAATAAACCCTCATATCATTTAAAAAAGTCAAATACACATATAAACAAAATTGACTTGGAAAGATGACTTTACACAATTTCTTGTACTGAAAACAATATATATGCAGGTTTTATGACGAAAAGCCAACAAAATGGTGATTTAATAAAAAGGGTAATTACCTTGTGCATGTCCCACATCCAAATTCATAATGTCTAGCTCGTGGTCGTCACGTTGAGGCGTGCATTCTCCATACACTCTCGATGGCTGATTGGGCGCGTAGAAATCGTCCGCGTGGAAGTCGTTCAGGCTTTGAATAACTTGGTACAAACTCATCTTTGCAACGTGCGAGAGGATATGATAACCAGAAATGGAGATGGAACATTTATAACGCGATAAGTTGATTCAACGGAGCGATATGATTGGTCCACACCTGTCTAAAATACTATTGAACTATCAGATACTTTCTTCAGATGTGAGGTAAAAACGCAGACGCATAAACATCAAAAGGGCTGGTGACACGCAATACCTCGTCCTGTAAACAGTAATAATAGATAACGTCCAGCCGGGGGCAGGGGGTCGAACAGGTATGTTATGTCGATGCAGCTAGATCAAGCTATACATATTACATAATACATAAAGATGCTCGCTACCTGCTAGGCAAAACAAAAGACCCAGGTGAACAAGCCGTTATTTGTACATCCATGTGAGGCCATGGGTTNATTGAACGGATGAAACAAAGAAGAACAATCTTCACCCCGTGAAAGGGGAAGGACTACACAGATGGTCCATATTTTGGGACTAACATTGTTTTATCGCTCGCTCTCTCTCTCCAGTACTTTTGAAAGTTATTACATTAGTTATGCTCGCACAGAGAACTTCAGTTATTTTAACATATACGGCGCAGGGCCCATGAAAAAACTCCTGCCCCCAGCTAGAAACATGCACGCAAACACAACACATCGAGGCACGGCCTTATAATGACCTCATATGTTTAAACGACAGTAATGAAACTCTCAATATGAAGGGTACATAATGGTGATTCTATCTACATTGTGACTTTTTTCATTTTTTTTATAGAAAAACAGGCCGATTACTGCTTTAGTTCAATTACTATGGGATGGTACAGACCCACGTCTGAAACCCGTTCACAGCGACACGGCTATTTCGCAGTTAACATTGATCGCCATATTTTTGAAGGTATGTTTCATTTATTAATAGGCCCGAGACTATACCAACAAATCAATCAATCAATTTTTATTACAGTATCACGCATCACATCACATGTAACATATACAGATAAAAATATATATTGCTCATACAAGGTAACAATTAAAAAACGTTTTCAAGATTACAATTGATGTAATGCCAAGTCGTAGTCGGCTTATGTGACACATTTTCATTATCATTATATTTTACTTATATTTAGAGATATTTTATCTAGTTATTGATTTTATCTATATGTTGATTCCTATATTTTAACATTAGGGCTAGTGATTATACCAACTTAAGCAAGTACATCGTTTATTTTTAACTGATATTGGGAAATTATTAAGTTCGTGTTTTTTTTTATACAAGGGAAACTTGTTTCTCAATTACGATAACATGTACCTAGTACGAATAACACCAAAACTTATAATTTAGCACCGGAGCAAGTATGGATGTAGCACCGAAGATATGGGTGAGTTGATTACCCTTACCAGGAGCATTGCATGTCCGGGGAGCCAAATCCCCCAAACAATCACCGAGATGTAAGTCAACAAATGTTCCCTACAAAATAATAATTGACCACAACATGATATAAACATGTCACATACTGGCTCACGCTTTAAATGATTAAATTGCTCATTTCATCATGTACAAATACATTCAAACCGTTTTTGAGATACATTTATAATCTAAAGGCATGTGTATTTCACGTCTATTTAGGGAGAGGCTGACGAGAGATTTACTGGTGGAGCACAAGGAACATTTGATTTGTACATGTGAACAATTTCGTTTCGAAAAAGAGGGTTCGTGTGTTTTCTGTGGAGGGCTTAAAGATAAAGCCAGAAAGTAAGTAGTACTACTAATTAATAGCTAAACAGGTTAGACCGGCGTAAATCCGGCCAACTTATAAATGTTCTGGGCTTGGGCTAAGTTCTATAACAACTTTTAGGAGGGTTCAAGAAAATGACAACCTGGCACTTTTTCTGATGTCACAGTACCCAAATCGGGACAGTTACCCAATCGGTACACTTGTAGGAAAAAGTCACAAGAAATTTGCGTACGGTGCAAAGAAGTGTTATTAAATTGGAAATATTGATTTAAAGATGCTGATATACCAATAAACCATTATATGAACTTTATTTACTGCCATTTGTAACGAACCCCTGTGTTTGACTGGAATGGAATGAAGTGTCGGAGTCGAATAAAAGATGTGATTTTAATCTGCATAAAAAAATAGCCGATTTTTTTTTTTTATGTATTTTGTAAAAATAGTCAAATTGTTTTATTCATTCAATCACAAACATTTTAATTTCTTTTTTGGACCATTAAGAATATTCCTTTTGATGATAAAAAATGCACGCTGCATAATATTAAAACTAGGGCAGCGCGTGCTTCCGGTTATATCGCGCCAGGTTGGTAAGGCATGAGGCCTAGGATGGAGGCCTATCGGGACATCGATATATTTCCAGCACCCTTTATAGACCCAGAATATTGACAAAATACTGGGCTCTCATGGAAAGGAAAGGTACGTCGGTAATTAGGCCAAATGATTGAATCAAGAATATGAAATGGAGTCTTAACAATTAGGCTAACTCGGTCAGTAGGTCAGTGGTATCCATAGAAGAACGGCGGCGATTTAATAATTAGATAATCGTATCACCAAACCATCATTTCATTAAATCATAGAAAATCTGAGTAGGAATTAACCCTGGATCCGCCACTGGTATCAAAGGGAGAATATCGATGGGTGTTTTAGCTAGCACCCCGGGGTTAATTTGAGATATTTATAGAACGCTCTGAAGTCACCAATCAGCGTCTCCGGTTTTTGCGAATGTCAGGACACAAATCGGATCAAGGCTTGAATTTTGCAGTATCTTAAGCTTCAAATGAATATTTTTTGTCAGCATATAACAATTCATGATAACTTTTAGAATTTATATGACAAAAAGTATTTCTATACAGTAGTGTGATTTTATTGATATAACAGTTAGTCCACAACAATGCATTGCATAGTCGTCGCTCGCGCCATTTTTTAAAAACGTTATCAAAACACTTACATTTGAGTTTGAATTACGTTTTCCTGTGCTATTTGAAATTAAAAACTAAACATATGTTGACAACAAAATGGTGCATGGCTATCTATTCAAAGACTACATCATTGATCTGTTACAACTGATTTCTTGACACAGTATTTGTGAAAAAAGTTATCTGATTTGGGTACTCCCTCCTTATGCATTTCCACGGAATTACATTATATACTAGAATTTAGAATTAACAATAAATAATTGAGTGACAAAGATGCCAAAGATGTTGGCTTCACTAATGAGTGGTTCACGATTGGTTACCAAGCAGACAAAAACTCCACCTGATTGATTGGAAGGTTTTATGTCCGTTTCAATACTGAGTAGTTTGGTTATCCAGCAGACTAGCCTAGCTATAGGTCATAAACTCCACGTGGACTTGAGCGTACTAAATAAATTACCCGAGGCGTCATAGATCTAATGCAAGCATAACAATTTACCTTGGCACGGTTGGTCCCACTGACACATCGACTGTCACAGCACCTTGTGACCTAATTTTAATCACTGTTCTCACACGCCAAACAAAGTAAGCCAACTTCTATTTGCTAAGAAAGATTTTGAATTAAGAGTTTGTTCTAATCAACTTGATATATATGTGAATGAGTTTCTTGAGGGTTTTTTTCCTTTTTTTTCTTACTGATAATGGAGCAGTAATACTGTACTTGCCAGACTAGTAAAACAAGAAGTCTTTAATATATGGATGGCCTGCTACACACAAACAAACAAAAAAGAAGGTTATAATAAGTCCTGTAACCTGCTGTATTCATAGACATAACTGAAAATTACTTGCAAATATCAAGGTCGAAAAAAATGTTGTGCTTTTGCAGCTTAATCACGGGTATTATTTACTAGTCGTTTCATCATATCTGATTTGAAAATTGAACTAAGGATATTTGTTTTGATTTGTTCTAGATATTACACTATTCCCATTGGGCCTCGCCTCCAGCAGATCAAGGAGACTGAAGTCATGGCTAAAATGTTGTCTATTCCCCGAACACGGCCATCCAGATATGTTGATGATCTGCATGCTTCACCTGCTTGGCATGCATTCACAGAGGAGGTTGGAAGCGATGCCATTGCTCTGTCGTATTGTTCTGATGGGTTCAATCCTTTCCACCATAATATCACAGCTGGAAATTACAGTATCTGGGCACAAACTGGTCTTATTCTAAACCTACCGGCAAAGCTTCATTCTAAGAAAACAACAACTATGCTGTTTGGCCTGATTGCAGGTACAAAATAATTTTATCAAAAATTGTGATAAATTTGTGATAAATTTATCAATATGGAGTTTATTATAAAAGTCAATTATTATACCTTTATACGATGCAGCCCATACAAGATATTAGTAAAATTTCTCAACATATTTTGATGTTAAGCATCAATATGCATCGGACAAGTTCAAGTATATGATTTTGGACTATATATTATGTACAAATTGCTCATAAGTACTAAATACACATGTTATTAAGAATTGAAAATTTAACACTCCCAGTTTTGAAGTTCCTATCTCTTAAAGAGGAGTTTAATCAACACCAGCAAACCTTGTCAATCCATACCACATTTTTGTTACCAGACAGCACAACTTCATTGATTCTGTAGCATTTAATATATGAAATTCACTAAACTCATCACAGACAACCTCTAAAGCTTATTTCGAAAATCATTAATTTTATCTAATAGCTAACAAAATATTGTGTTTCAGGTCCACGTGCACCCAAACGACTGAATATTTATAATGAAGTCATCATCGATGAACTAGTCAGACTAGACCAAGGCATTGGCATCTATGATGCCTTTATGAGGAAATCCAGCATCCTTCGAGCACGAGTCATGTTTACAGTCTGCGATGTACCTGGAAATGCAAAGGAACAGAACCGTGTACAACAGAATGCCAAGGCTTCATGTGGACATTGCCATTTGAAAGGTAATGATATAATGAGGATTAAGCTTAAAGTCTTTACCTCCTTTTTATAGCCCACCATCATCAGATGGTGAGCTTTTCAAATCACTCTGAATCCGTGGTTGGTCTGTCCTTCATTCCGTCTGTCCTGCCGTTCTTAAACAATTCTTGTTAACGCTGTTACTCTGAAAGAACTGGAGGGATCTTTTTCAAAATTCAAAAGAAGGTTACCCATGATCCCTAGTTATGCATATAGTTTATTGGGACTGACCACAAAACCAAAATGGCCGAAAGGCAGCCATTTTGACTTTGAAAGTTAAAGTCACATAAGAGTATCTCTTGTTCTTAGTTATGGATATCAAATCATATTGGTTGGTCATCTTGTTACAGTTTAAGATTGTTGTTGCTATTTCTCAGAACTTACTAGAGAAATTTTTCACAAATTGTATATGTAGGTTTACCTTGGTCCTAAGTATATTAAGATGGCAAACAGGCAAACTGATAAAACAGATAAGTCTTAGAGTAAAGAAGAGAAAAAATTGAAAGGACACAGAACTAAGGAAGATGGTACAATGGTGGGCACCAAGATCCCTCTAGGGAACTCTTGTTGTATTTCTTAAACACTACTCTGTCCTCTTGACTGGAGCATAAGGTCAACAGAAAGAAACAAGTGTTTCCTAAAACATATTTTAAAAATTTGGATAGCTAGGAAAGTAGCATTTAAAAAACACACTAATTTTTGCTGAGATAGGAAGAAGAGTGGTTTTAAGGGTACTATGCTTTTTTGAAATTTGACTTTACTGATTTATAGCTTGATGATACTTTAATAGTTCTAAATATACAGAATTTTTTTTAATCTTCAGTTTTAGACTACATATATACTTGAACAACTTTTCACAAAGTATCCAAGTTTGATACAGGCACTGAAAAGTTTTCTTCTCATCGTCAGCATGTGGATAATATGAGAGGCCATCGCAGTTAGACTCAAGATTTTATCTACGTGCGAGTGATGTGAAGAAAACAAATTGTATTTTAACTTTTCTTAATATTTTTATCAGGTACGCATTCAAAGATTTTAGACAAGACTGTTTATCCAGGAGGCCGCACATTTCTTGAGAAGGATCATCCACTGAGATTTGATACATCTTTTCCAACCCGAAGTATTGAGGAGGCTGTTGCAGTTAGTAGAACAAAATCAGATGAGATTGCAATGTCCATCTTCTGCGATAAATTGGAGCACCAGTCTAGAGACCTTGGGTATGTTGAGCAAGGGTTTGAGTAAGTCTTTAACAAAGTGATTAATAACAACACTCTTGCAACTGCAGTGTTTAATGTGACCTACTATACATGCAGATTTTGTCAAATGAATACAAATTAAAGAAATGATGCAGATTAAGGCCAAGAATGCTGTGTTACTAATTATAGATTTTAGTAAACCAACTTTGTGAAATCACTCCAGCAATTTTGTAAAAAAATCATGAAACTTTATACTTAATATTTTCCTTGAGGTGATAGCTCAGGGACAAAATGTCAACTTTCAAGGTTACCATTACTATTTATGTAATTTTCCATTAAAATGGAAACAAGCTTTAATTGAAATAACGCATTTCTGATGTGTTGTTAAAACGGTAGATTTTGACTTCAGCACAAACAACAAGACCCGTTTCCATGCAATTACACCGGAGCATGGAAGGTACGGAAGCAGCCAGTGGTTGAGATTGTCTTACATGGACATGCAGAGTAAACATTCACCTGTGGAACCCATGCATGCCATTAAGGTAAGATGAATCCCATATTGCATATATCTTTCTATCTGTTTAAAGTTTGTCATTATCATAAGTTTTATATACATGTATCAGCGATAATGATCTTAAGATTCTTTGATGTTGTTTTTTTTCACTTGAGAATTTTGATAGTTGTATTTCTAATACCTTTCATTGGAAATAAAGGTCACAAAGTTAAAAAAATTAATCTGAATATCAGTCCAGATTGAACAAATACTTGTTTGCCTCTTATCTTAATTTACACATATGTTGTGAATGATTTTTTTTTTTATTTCTTTCTATTTAAATCTAATGCTTCAACTCAACAGGTTGTAGCTGAACATGTTACTAAACTTTTGAATGGTGACGAAGATGGGTCGAAAGTCAGAGCTCAGGAGCGTTCCATGAACCGGTTTGCCAACAGCTGTCCAGATGATGCATTCCAGATTTATGTGAAAGAGGTATGAAAGTTCTCTGAATTCATTAAATTGTCAAATAGAAATCTTGTTTATATTAATGATTCCCTGTTGCAAGGTGATCAGGTTATAGATGCCATTCTGTCAATCTCAGTCTAACTAGGTTAACAGTTGAACAAATATCCTAGATAATTCAGTGATCATGTAAAATTATCAGGTATGGCTGTTTTTTGGCAATGTCAATAGACTGAGGCTAAAATAATTAAATGTTGTGTTTCCACTAACCCTACCTACCCAGATTATTCAGCCTGATTTACAATTTCATTAACAGAAGACAACTCTCAGCCAGATGAGGAAGCGGAAAAAAAACCAACCCCTGTATGTATAACTAAGGAAAAGTACCGAGATTGGCTATTATGAACATGACTTCTTTCTATCAACATTTTTTGGTTGTTAAATGCATCAGTATAAATAGTTTAAACTAATGGAGAATGTTCAGATTTTCCTATCAAACCTGTGTTCATTACCTGTGATTAAGTTTCTGGTCATTAATTTCAGAATTTTGCCCTGAACCTGTATAATAATAAAAAGACTACATTTATTTGTTAGTTAGTTCATTCACTTGTTAAAACCTAACTTGTTAAACAAAAATTAGTATACTTGCACAAGAAAATAAATAATACATCCCCAGGATTCGATTCTATTGAATCTTCCCTCTTTCAGTGAAGGCACTGGTAATGTCGAGACAGCATCTGAGCCCTGTCACACTGGCGCAGAAAGAAGGTAGGATAAATTTTCTGTTATTCCTAATCCTTGCAGGTATTTCTTTTTTAAGACTGACATACTGTTCTAGATAATGAGTAAAAGAGATGTCAGAGAAATAATCACTCTTTACATGAACCAAGATTGTAGAATGCCTACAAATGCTACTGCCATTCTGATCAGTCAACGGTCGACGACACCATAATGAAACGAGACATCATAAAAATTCCATTGTTTTTAGTAGCAGACATATTTCAGGCATATCGATTCTTAAAGAATATTACAATTAAGTCACATGCCATGCTTTTTACAGAATTGCAGTTGAATGGGGAATGTTTGAAAATAGAAATAATTAAAAAAAATGCAACAAGAAAATTGTAGACAACTTTTACTGTAATAATCATACACTTTACCAATTTTGCTATACATATAGTCTTAAGTTATGAGAACCAAAGCGTATGGAAAACAGTGGAAGTTAATTTAAGCCAAAAAGGCTCATTTTGGTTGCTTCATCGTCTTTATAGAAGGGAAACTAGTCCAAAATCACAAAATCTCTAGGACTCTGCATGGAACTCTTCTTCATGATTATAAGAAGAAATGTTAGCGAATACATAATCATATATAATACTTTTAATTGTTTCATTTTTCCAGTTTTCCAAAGAGCAGGCTCCCACCTGCCCCATTCACTCTGAACAACGATCAGAAGAAGGCAGCTAACTCCAGACTTGCATCCATGAGATTCCCCAAAAATTTTGGTGACGTGCCTGACACGCTCTTCACCAATATTTGTGGGGGAATGAAATCTCATACATGGAACCAGGTAGAGAAAAAAATATTGTATTGTTAAAGATAAATGTATAGGCAGATTGCTCCAAATCATAACTTGAATAAATCTCTGTGAAACATGTACTTTGCTTGAATGCTTCAAATAAGCCCCTCCTAAATTTGGCAAGTGTCCCTAGAGTAGGGTGAAGGGGCTGCAATTGAAATAAGCATACATTAACTTCTTCTAAAAAGCCATGAATTATTTTTTTCCAAAATAGCTTATGTATGTATTTGTTACAAAAATTAGTTTTTTCTAGTTGAGTTCTATGAATAATTAATTGTCTTAATTAGGTTTGGTAATAAATGTATGGTAGTGTCATGTACTGATGTCTACTGATTCGGTATACTAGGTAAGTTTTTATACAAAGGGTTATGGAATGAAACAAGGATGAAAGACATCATTATGAAATATGTAAAGAGAAAAAATATGCAATTCGTCTAAAGGGTGTAATTGAAAGACACTATAGAATTTCTTTTTGCTTTTGCAGTTATACACCACTGGAGTTTTGAGGTATTGCCTTAGAGGAATGCTAGGGGAACAACAGCGAAAGTCTTTGAACGAGTTTCTTCTGGGACTGGAGGGCCTATTCAAGACACCAACAGACATGGACACGATTGATCAGTTGGCAGAAAGATGGCACATCACACTGTGTACCATGGAAAGAGATTTCCCTCTATCTCTCCAGGTAAATAGACTTGGAATGAACTGGTTTTATTAACCCCTTCACCCTTATGTAACTTGAATTAACAACACCATGCATTGATCAGGATAATTCCATTTTGGTCTATATTGATGAAATGGTTAACTTAACAGATGGGACATTTAAACATAAAATAAATCGGGGATGATCATGAGCGGTATCCATGAAGTCAAGTTTAACCTAATTTTCAACACACCATGTTTTTTTTTCTTTTTCTAATGTTGGTTATTAAAAGAACACTTTGATTTTATCTGGGGGTTTTCCCAGAAAAAAATCAGCGTAAAACTGAAAGCAAAATAGATTGTTTCTACCCATGATAGATGAACATTGAATAAAGGGATTTACAAGTAAGCATGATTAATTGGGAATACATACACTGCAGAAGTTTCTGATCATAACACATGAATCATAAAGGATGTATTTATATATAGATAACTTCATTTTGAAATTATTGACATTCAGGCACACAGCAAGCTTTTTATGACCTTTCTGAACTAATTTCTTTGTTATATGCTGATTATTTTGGAATGTACAAACAAAAAATAATCATATAGTTTGGTAGTAATGAAAGAACATCGATAACTCTTTTTTGCCAGAGCTATGTGATGCATCTTCTGCACCATCTGCCACAATACGTGAAACTGTACGGGGCACCTAGTAATTTTTGGATGTTTCCATACGAACGCTTCAATAAGACTTTGTCAGAGTGTATCACCAATGCCAGAAATCTTGAGCTGAACGCAGTGAAGAAGATGGAGGTAAGTTAGAGTAGATTTTGTAATGCTAAAGAACTAATAAACTTGGAGGATTTACTATGGTGAATTATGCAACTCTGGGTTCAAAGTTATTCCAGCCAAATTAGCCATAGCTTATTATATTTTCTATGTTCTTATAAAAAAGTTAGATATTCAACCATAATAACTTACAAATATGTTGTTTATATCTATCTACCACATGAAAAAGTACGTGAACATACTATAATCTCTAATTTGATGCCTATTTCAAATAGGCTCTTCTAATACTACTGCAATAATTTGAATAAATTGTCGTGTGATGCAACATTTCAAGTCAACATCATATTTTCTTGAGATTAAGCCAGAAGGCTGATCATACGGGAAACCGAGAATTCATCATGAATTTTGAAGCGATTCCCAATATCATTTCAACTCCCAAGTACATACCATTGTCACAATATAGTTATTGTCGTAAAGATATGCGATTTATAAAATGCATAAAACATTCATACTTCTTCAAAATCTTACCCTTTTTGTACGACTGTCAAATTATGGTATGGCGTTGTCCGTCCGGCGTAAACTTTGTTTGTCCGGCAATCTCCTCCTACATTTTTAACAGATCTATTTGAAACTTGGTAAACATTATAATCATGATATGAATTGTGTCTCCTTTAAAAGAATTTTGATGCGACAATTTTTCCAAAAGTGATTTTCCTTTGTCATTTCAGTATTTGATTTTTGTCGGGAAATCTCCTTCTTCATTTTTTCAACATAACTCTTTGAAACTTGGTATACTTTATAATCATGATATGAAGATGAAGTTGTCTCCCTTAAAAGAATTTTGATTCGACGATTTTTGCAAAATCTATTGCCTTTTGTTCATTTCAGTATTTGATTTTCTCCTACTTTTTTTATAGCATATCAGCTAACCACTCTTAGAATGATGAAGATCTTATTTCAATGTAAGAAAGTATATAACACTATATGGCATTAGACGGGCATATTTTGTTACGCTCTGGGGTACTCTTTTAGATTATTGAATTGTTTTAGACTGCATTGAGATATTTTTATTGATATTTGTTTGCTTTTCAACAGATGCATTGGTTGGTGAGCATGTTAGGAAGTGCTGGATATCTGGAGCCTCTTAACTGTAGACCAGAGCCAAGTCAAAAAGTACTGCATTTTTTGCAGCCTGGGACCCACAAGCCATCCCCTCGACAAATCAGCCAGGTAGAGCGAGATGCTCTTACAGATTTACTTGGGAAACCTCTCACCAACCAGTTCCTCTCCGTTTATCATTACGCCCAGAGGATCTTTGGACAAACAGAGGTGCGATACAGAGACACTTCTATGGAGGAAAGAAACCAGCATGAGAAATCAAGTGTTGTTTCCTGTTATCTGCCACAAGGCCAGTTTTTGGTGAAATCAAGTACTTTTTTGAGTTCTCAATGCAAAATAAAACAAATGAACTGGCTTTTGTGGAGTGGATTGGGCAACCTGAACAATGTGAGGACTCGCACTGTTTCAAAGTACCACGGAGCCCAGGAACTACCTCTCCTGTCATGTGGGTGTCACAGCTCTCTGCACCTCTAATCCATGCTTGGGATGGGGATACATTTTGGCTACCAAATTTGTGAATATGGGACATTCAATATTTCATTTCTGTTGGCTACATATTGTAAATCTTATTGAACTCGTTTTGTATAAATGTTGTTGCACCATTACTTTATTTATTTGGTATGATTGACTGAGGTTCCATAGAGGCACTCGTATATATGAGGAGACCGAAACCGAAGTTTTCAAAACCTTTTGTATTTGTATATACTATTTTTAGGCTAGTCTATTCAGAGAATTAGAGAGGTGGGGGTGGAGGCTATAGCAATAACCACGGCGTCTGCGTCCCACTTCGGTAAAGATTTTTGGCAAGCTGTGTTTTGGTGTGTAACTTTTAATCTAATTTACATTGTGATAGGGTTACAGCAATTGCTTGGAGGTTCCTTAGCATTATTTAGACTATATGCTCATTATCGGTACCAAACACAAGTCTATCGGAATTGCGTAAAATTTTGGCAAGTTCTACAGGTTGAATTTTAGGGCAAGTTCTAGTTCTTTTCAACCTAGGCAGATTTCAACCAAATTTAACAAGGAGAATCTTTAGGGAAGGGGATTCAAGATTATACTAATGAAGACCCTGACCCCGCAGGGGACAGATGGGCGGGGCCAAAAGGGGTACATTTGACATTATGCCTTCAAACGACATCTCTGAACATCTTTGCACAACACTTTCAGATTATTTATATGACCCCTGGGGCCGGGCCAGTGTCATGGGGATCAAATATTAAAATGTAGTTCTAGCTTCCTGATCTATTATTTAATATGGCATGTACTGTAATGGCCCAATTACTATTAGCACTTTTAAAAGAAAAAAGAACAAAAAAAGACGAAACTGCTGTTCTCCTACAGCTCTTGTTTATATATTTGTTGATGCACCATTATTTTATTTATTTGGTATGATTGACTGAGGTTCCATAGAGACACTCATATATGAGGAGACCGAAACCGAAGTTTTCAATACCTTTTGTATTTGTATAAAATATTTGTATCCCACCCGTAACAAAACAAAGTTAGGGTATACTTGAATCACCTTGTCTGTTTGTTGTACACCAATTTAACTTGTTCTAACATGGGGTAGGCAGATGATAGAAATTGACTTTATAAGAGTTTAAATAGTTTGGGGAATAGTGAGTCAAATTGTAGAACTAACCGAGGTTTGAAAAAATGAGAGTGAATTGATAAGAAATTAATCACGAACACTACTTTATAATATTTATTTGCAGGATTAACTGACACATTCTTATACATAACACAAACACTATTAATGAACTCATAGATAACGATAGACATACATAATAAGGCTATTGTAAACCTAAATCATAATGAAAAATGTTGGCCAATTTATTAATGGAAGTTGTGATGCGGGTGGTTACTCATCTGCCTCCTTTACTATATTCAATATACGAGTACCTAAACATTCTTGAAAGATGTTTTGAAACAAAACAGCATCCCCATACAACAGCCAATATATCAAATACAACCCCATGCCACACCCTGGAGTCTTCTGCGTTTGTCGTGATGTTGAGCATATGGTTGCTTTTATCTTGCTTATATTATTTATGTTTTTTGTATAATAAAGGTAAATGTTGGCTACAAAACCATTAAAAAAGGCCACATTTAATGATCATTGAGCATTGGGAAATTGCTCAGGCTATGTTTTTCGTTTTTACTATATTTCTCATTCTACCAGAGAACACCATGCAAAAGGTATTAGATAGTTTTCGTATCAAGTGATGCAAACATTAGCTTTGGTCTAATTTGGAGGGAGATCCAACAAGGGTATATTTTCTAACACTTATAAAATTAAAGAAATCTGTTTTAAACTAGATAAAACTATATTCGAGAAATTTTCCTTTTCACTCATAGTACACTAAGAAATGTTTACTTTCAAATGCAAGTAATAAATCACATGATTCAAAAATAGTTCACAATGAATCCATCGAGTATTAGTAGAAATTAAAATCATTGTACGAGTATAGTCAGCATGGTTGGGTTATACTACCATATTACGAGGATAGTCAGAATTTAGTAGTCACTAGTGTTTTTGCGCATGTCAGTACCCAAATCGGATCAAGGCTTGAATTTTGCAGTACCTTATGCTTCAATGAATATTTTTTTTGTCAGCGTATTGACATTTTATGATGACCTTTAGATTTTTTATGGCAAAAAGTATTTCTATACTGTACAAGTAGTGTGAATTTATTCCTATAGTCCAAAACAGAATGCATAGTCGTCACACGCGCCATTTTTTGAAAACGTGATCAAAACACTGACATTTGAGTTTGAATTACGTTTTTCTTGTGCTATTTGAACTTAAAAACTAATCACCTGTAGACATTTTATGGTGCATGACTATGTATTCTAAGACTACATCATTGTTATAACTGATTTGTTGACATATTTATTTATTTATAAGTATTTTTGCAAAAAAGTGATTCGATTTGGGTACTGCCATCTTAATCCAAAATCCCCGATGAGGCCGGAGCCCCTCGTCCTTTAGTTCCGTGACATTACGTATTTCCGTTTCTAAATTTACTCAAACCAGTCATATACTTCCGGTGCACTTTCTGTCAGTATGCTACAGTGTGTTTGTGGATACAACAACAAACATTTCCCAGAGATTGGGCTATTAACAGAGTCGTCTGCTCACACAATGTCTTAGACAGACACACTAGACCGACAGGATGAGTGGAAGGGTCGGAGATCTCAGCGATTTGCAAGCCACGGCCCTACAAACAGTAAGATCTGTCACCTGTCAAGTTTGACTCGACTTTGGCCGATAAGTTAACTCGATCAAGGTTCAAAACCAGCCCGTTATACCGTTAGACAATTTTAAAAAACACTGTCGTTATCAGTACCAAATGTTATATCTGCCAATCATGGTACTTTGCTGTGTCTATTAATTATATACTGTATCACAGTGCAGTTCAATATAATATGACAACACATATCGGCCTCAATTGTCTTACATGCAATTAATATTTGTACGTTGCAACGTTTTCATGATTTAAAGCTCCGATTTCAAATAGTACGTGAAAAAATTGTCTGTTGTATAAACAATACAACTATGAAAAATTTGTTTGAGACAGGATCGCTGTCATTGATAAACATTTTTTTTCAAAATCAATAACTTCCGTCTGACTACAATCAGTTAGAACTGTTGGCACTTTTTGTCTAATACTGATTTGTAGCTTTTTGGGAACATCTGATACAATTTTCAGGTTTTGCGGCTATAAATGACAAATTGTCAATTGGCCAGATATAACAATATCAAAACGAAATGTTTTCCTAACACACTCTTAATTGAAATAATATTCAAGGATTTCTCTGTCCTTATATATAATATAAATGACCATAGTTCATTAGTGTTGATGGGTCGTTAAACTCAAACAATATAAAAAATAATTATCTAAGGGTATAGCCTATACTATTTAACCTAGCCCGAGTTTCCTCTGGCCCTATCTATAACACCAGACTTAGACATTCTGACATATATAGATGTCTGGCGTGGGGCCAGAGCACACTGCTGTATGAAAACGTGGAATTCTCCAGCACCGTTCATATGTATATATCATTATTATTGTTTTAAGGGAGAAGGAGAATTTTTAAGTTTTTAACTTGTGTCTAATCCCCTTGGTATTTTGCAAATAAATGAAATATGTTAAAATCAATAAAGATGTCTTATCAACTGTAGTATTTAAGACACTACTTGTTTGGGGGAAAAAATGTGAATTTGGAAAATTCAAAGTTTGGTTAATTCCATACAACTTTTCCCATTCTGAATTAAATTCACAAAGTGTTTCCATCAAAGTTTGAGTGGGAGCATACGCATGTTTTACAAACATTTTCTACTTTAATTTTTTTACAGTTCAAAGAAAATGTCAAAGACATTCTAAAACCTAACCATGACGATTACTACCTGCTCTGCTGGCTCAGAGGTAAAGTATATGGAAAAAGAAATTAATAGTTTAAATATATATATTGTTTCAATCAATATTAACCGATAATTACCATTGAAACATAAACTTGAACAATGGAGGTATATTCTTTATTAGGAAGCTTATTATTATAAGTGCACTCTAGATATAGGGCTTTATGTTCAGTTTGGTTATTTTTTCGGCTGGAAGCTTTGAAACTCTCCATTAAATCACCAGTGCAGTCGAATTGTTAAGGAAGCACATGTATAAGAATAATTATTCGGTTTTGTTCTTGGCATGAGTTCATTATAGAGCTTTATTATAATGAAGTTACCTCTAACCCTTAATACATACACTTGCTTCACTATTTGTGCAGTCCATTATTTTAATCTCTGGTAACACATAATTATTTACCTGCATAGATTTACATTTCTGTTCACATCCAGTCATAGGTAAACCTACTTTACTGATATTTGTGTAGACCTGTCTTGTATCCATGCATAGAAATCTGATAGCTTTGGTATAGCTATACATGTATCATCAAGATTGGATTTTGAAGTGCATGAAAATAAAATAAAATTACTGCTCTGTATTTTAATTATGAATTTTATTTGCCCATCTGTACAGCACACGTTATAGTGTATATGATGATGTCCCTCCATCTGTACAGTACACACGTTATAGTGTATATGATGATGTCCCTCCATCTGTACAGTACACACGTTATAGTGTATATGATGATGTCCCTCCATCTGTACAGTACACACGTTATAGTGTATATGATGATGTCCCTCCATCTGTACAGTACACACGTTATAGTGTATATGATGATGTCCCTCCATCTGTACAGTACACACGTTATAGTGTATATGATGATGTCCCTCCATCTGTACAGTACACACGTTATAGTGTATATGATGATGTCCCTCCATCTGTACAGTACACACGTTATAGTGTATATGATGATGTCCCTCCATCTGTACAGTACACACGTTATAGTGTATATGATGATGTCCCTCCATCTGTACAGTACACACGTTATAGTGTATAT